ACCTATTGCGCTGATATCTTCTCTTTCACTCTCTTTCTTCATTCAGGAAAGGTGAAGATTGAATCGGGAACAGAAAACGAAGGAGGAACAGACTTGTCCTTTGGTCGAGTTTGCTTCACTTCCCGCGACAGCTAAAAAGGGGCATTTAGGACAACTATTTTAATGAGCACAACCCAGCTCGGGACAGTTAAGACAAGACGGTTGCCTCTCCGGTAAAGGGTCAAGAAAGAAGGCCCAGGCCTACGATTGGAAAGCTAAAGCCTTCCCTTAGAAAGCGCAGGATTGAGATGAGACTTCGGAGGATGCCCATGGAACTTGACTTCTTTGATTCTTTGATCGGAATACGGATGAGATCAGAAAGGCCATCATTGGGGCAAACGATGCAAGGCCAACAAGTCACTTTCAGCTGTCAGACCTTCTTAGCTAGACTGAGACTGCTGATATATGGACGGAGTGGCGAGCTCTCGCTGATCTCTACGCGGATCTCCTCGATGGTTACTGCATGGAGGGCGGCTTGTCGGTCAATCCTTTCTAAGGAGCTTAGCTTCCCAACCATTGAACCGAACAACCCGGTGATTCCTCTTCCATCAACAGCTCCCTCGCTTTCCACGGGGAAACTGACCACATGATCGGCAATGGGCATAGACCCGAAAACAAGATTCACTCGTTCTTCAGCCCTCACTTAGACATGAGGGAGAGGCCCCAAAGATAGGATTCAAGGAGTAGGCGATTCCTGAACGGATAAGATGGAAAGAAATTCATTATTTAATTTATTATACTGCCGGAAAGGCCGATACGATAGGCCCTGATTCAAAGACTGATACAATTTCCTCGCCTCGCTGCCAACAAGAAAGAAATTCCGTTATGCGGCAAAGCAGATGAACTACCTAACTAAGGGAAGGGGGAAGAAGGGTCAAACACCTGATATGACTAAGCGCTAGGGGATACTCTTATCTTATACCTGCACCCTCCGCTGCTTACCAAATTCTTAGGGAATGGTTAAGGAATCGAAGACTTCTTTAGTGCACCTGTCGTTAATCGGAAATGGAAGATTGATCGGACCGATCCTCAGTTGGTTCGTTTTGGTCTGATGTGGAAGATTTACGACATGGTTGCGGTAAAGGGTATAAATTTCCGAGTACCTATCTTGGACGTTGGTACCGGCCTCCCTTTAGGAGGTTCTGTATTGGGTGGTATCAGTGGTACAGATTTATTGGTGTCTGCTCTAGGTTTGACACAACCTAAAGCAGGACGTGGTATCGTGCTTCCTAGTGTTTTGATACACTTTGGAGAAGATCCCATGGTTACGACCATCAGCTTACTTACCCTAGCACACACTATAAGGGGGCTCATAAAACGAAACTTATAAATGAATGAACTTAGCCATATCCTTCATTTCAGTACTTTTGCTCCCTTCAACACGTCCCTCTACTCAACTTGGTAACCTTCTCCGATCCGCTCAGAAAAAACAGGAAATTTTTCAGAGAAAGAAAGGCCTAGCCGAAGGAGAAGGAGGCAGGCGCTAGCTTATGATTTCCGTTGTCCAATCAACTAATGGGGTTTTGGGGTGTGCAACCTGAACTGCTTAATCTTTTCCAGAATGTCAAAGAAATGGTTGCGGGTTGACGATTCCGTAGACATCGTAGATGAAATACGAACAATAGCACGGGCAAACCAACGCTTTGATGAAAGTTGTGAGCTCGCAGCGAGAAGAGCACTTGAAGAACTGGATCCATCTTTGACGCCTGCAGAAAGAGAACAGGAAGAAGCAATTGGATAAGAATCATACGCTGAATGAGCAGACGAATCGACCGAGCAAAGTAGATAGGAGTACTAGGGAAAAACATGCCGGTGCATTTCCTCTGTTGAAGAAAGAGTGCTGCCCGGGCGGCACGTTAGCATCATGCTACAAGTAGTACTTCCGTAGCCTCCGATACCAGGCCATAAAGTGTTGTAGGGGGAGGATCAGTCTTTGCTAGCTGCCCTGCCAAAGGACTGTGCGAGAAAGCCATACATTACAACCTAGATGAGTCCTCAGCAATGCTACTAGTCCTTTCTTCTTAGAGTGATGAGAGTTCAGTCATTCGAAGCTCCGTTCGCACCTGATCCCTTTGCTTCTTTACCAGACAAGAAGGATTAGACTTTATACCATACCACTAATGGACTATAGCAAAGAGCCAATGCCTGCTACTCTTCTGGACTATAGCAAAGAGCCAATGCATGCTACTCTTCGGCTGCCGCGAGGGAGCTAACTAACCGGGTATTAACTCCTCCCGCTACGCTTCTTCCATCAAAGGATAGCCGTTCGTAAGCTTTCCCAAAGCATCCTTCACTCACTAACAATCCTAATACACTTAGTTGATTAACTGCTTCTCTTTCTATAGGTCGTTCACTTAGTGGGAGGCTAGCCCATTCTTCCCTTAGTGCTTCTTCCCTTAGCCCATTGTTCCCTTAGTGCTTCTTCCCTTAGCCTACTTGTTCCCTCCTCAACAAGCCTACTTGTTCCCTCCTCAAAGAGTGCTTGTTCCCTCCTAACCTCAAATAGTGCTTCGCCTACTAGCTAATCGATTAAC